ACTATAGACTAGACTATAGACTAGACTATAGACTAGACTGTAGACTAGACTATAGACTAGACTATAGACTAGACTATAGACTAGACTATAGACTAGACTATAGACTAGACTATAGACTAGACTATAGACTAGACTATAGACTAGACTAGACTAGACTAGACTATAGACTAGACTATAGACTAGACTATAGACTAGACTATAGACTAGACTATAGACTAGACTATAGACTAGACTATAGACTAGACTATAGACTAGACTATAGACTAGACTATAGACTAGACTATAGACTAGACTATAGACTAGACTATAGACTAGACTATAGACTAGACTATAGACTAGACTATAGACTAGACTATAGACTAGACTATAGACTAGACTATAGACTAGACTATAGACTAGACTATAGACTAGACTATAGACTAGACTATAGACTAGACTATAGACTAGACTATAGACTAGACTATAGACTAGACTATAGACTAGACTAGACTAGACTAGACTAGACTATAGACTAGACTATAGACTAGACTATAGACTAGACTATAGACTAGACTATAGACTAGACTATAGACTAGACTATAGACTAGACTATAGACTAGACTTTAGACTAGACTATAGACTAGACTTAGACTAGACTATAGACTAGACTATAGAACTAGACTTTAGACTAGACTATAGACTAGACTATAGACTAGACTATAGACTAGACTATAGACTAGACTATAGACTAGACTAGACTAGACTATAGACTAGACTATAGACTAGACTATAGACTAGACTATAGACTAGACTATAAACTAGACTATAGACTAGACTATAGACTAGACTATAGACTAGACTATAGACTAGACTATAGACTAGACTATAAACTAGACTTTAGACTAGACTATAGACTAGACTATAGACTAGACTATAGACTAGACTATAGACTAGACTATAGACTAGACTATAAACTAGACTTTAGACTAGACTATAGACTAGACTATAGACTAGACTATAGACTAGACTATAGACTAGACTATAGACTAGACTATAGACTAGACTAGACTATAGACCAGACTATAGACTAGACTATAGACTAGACTATAGACTAGACTATAGACTAGACTATAGACTAGACTATAGACTAGACTATAAACTAGACTTTAGACTAGACTATAGACTAGACTATAGACTAGATTATAGACTAGACTATAGACTAGACTAGACTATAGACCAGACTATAGACTAGACTATAGACTAGACTATAGACTAGACTATAGACTAGACTATAGACTAGACTATAGACTAGACTATAGACTGGACTATAGACTAGACTATAGACTAGACTATAGACTAGACTACTGACTAGACCGGACTAGAAACTACAATCTAGACTAGACTATAGACCACACTTTAAACTGGACATTAGACTAGACTTTAGAATACACTTTAGACTAGACTATAGACTGCACTTTAAACTAGTATAATTTAGATTTGATATTAGAGATTTTTATATGTGTATATATTTTCGATTTTTCTTCCTTCTCTTAGTCGATTCCGTTACCTATCGCGGCTGCTCCGATTCGACACCCACGTCCGGAGCTACCTATAAAAAATCCTGTAGTGAAAATCTATGCAACAAGGGAGTATATCCACCGGGTCGTTTAAAATGTTATCAGTGCAGTGGTCAACAGTGTAATAGAGTCATTGGAAAACCTCATCCCTGCCCGAATCATCAAGAAGATGATGAATGTTATATTGATGCCATTGAAATTGATCAAATCTATCGTGGATGTCGTTCGAATACAAATCATACCGTTTCGACAAGAGCAATTTTTTGTGACTACAATGGTTGTAATAATGCTCCCGCCTCTAGTAAATTGAAATGTGCTCAATGTGACTCGAAATTGAGTCGTGGTTGTAAAAGAGATCTTGTGCACAATCATAATATCACACAATACGACACCTGTGAAATGGATGTGAAAATCAATGTGAATAGTTCGTGTTTTATTTATCACAATATGGATCGTGTTTTGCGTGGTTGTTCGGATCTAATGCCCGAAGAAGTGAAAAAGAATATGAATCGTACTTTAATGTGTAGTGGACCGGATTTTTGCAATACCGGCAATTTGGAAACACAACAATGTTTGCAGTGCAACTCGGAAAGAGGAGATGATAATTGTCGCTTTGATACTACCAAAGTGGCAACTACATTTTGTAGTTCCCCCGAGGCGTCTTCCTGTTATGCAGTCGAGTATAAAAACTGGCATGTCGAGAGGGGTTGCTCAGTTGTCCCTCTAAATAAAACCGATAAAAATCGTGAATATGAATGTGATATACCAAAAGATTGTAATAGAATGCCATTTACACGCTGTTACAAATGCTCCTCGGAAATCGATTCAAATTGTGCAGCCTGGCAAAGACCAGGATTTTTAGAGATCGAGGAATGTGAAATTCCGGCTGCCAGATGTTTAGTGGCCACTTTTGCCGATGGTGTAACGAAAAGA